AACTACCTGTACAACAGGAAGTTTGTGCTATCCAAACAGTGTTTACCATTCATCAATGGCGTGATAGCCAATAGTGTTAATGAAACACGCACTATAGCAGAATTACCTGCACAACAAGTAACACCCACTATGACAATGTCATATGGACTTGTGGCCAGAACAGCTCAAGATCTCAAAGCAGAGAGACCTGGTTTATGGTCCTCCTCAAAATCTTTGTTACAACATGGGTCATATCAAGTAACTTGTAACCAGTTGGTAATATGCAAATTATATTTTGTTAACGACAAGAGATAGAGCAGCATGTGGTTTTCATCTACCACACCTGACCAAGCAGGCCCTGTAAGTGCTTTCACAGAGCAGTGAGCTGGTATTCCCCTACAACACTTGCTCAGGACGACCAAGGCCAGCTGACAAATGTGATTTCCCTCAGCACGTACACCAGAGAACAAGTTAAAAAAAAAATCAAAATTACATGGCTCTCGTCTCTGAGGATACGTTGAAACTCCATCCATTACTCGAGACCAGCACCTGCTCAGAGATACTGGTGGCACTTTGTGGATGCAATGTTAATCAGAGACCCTCAGTCGCTTCCAGTGAATGTTTAACGTTCCACTGAAACATTGAGAGGTGTTTTCTGCATCTTGCTGATGTATGGTGGAACACATTCAGAGTCAAAGGTCTATTCCAATTATTATTTCTTTGACTAAACTAACAGATCAGAGTGCTTATACAGTGGGAAACAATGCTCCAATTCTGGCTATATTGTGACAAGGAATAAAAGAGGTGGACAAATTTCCTGACCTAAATTAAACTAGCAAGTGACCTTATATTAAATAAAAGCTCTGATGTATTCCAGTCTTTTCCTGCAGAAATGCTAAATGCATTAAAGCTGACCTACAGCATATTCTTGCAGCTCACAAACTGATATGGTCAAGAAACACAATCAGGGATGGTGTAAAAGTATGGTAACGGCGGTATTCTACACCATTTTCAGAAGGTTCAACCCATGGAATTATTAACCCGTGAAGGAGTAAAGTAAGATTTGATAGGGCACATTTCCAAACAACCTATATAAGCAGAGGCTCCAAGAACCCCTATTTATGGTTGCTCCAGACATGGATGTTAGTGCAGTAGAGAGGCAGATAAACGATAAAGCTATGCCCATTGTGTTGGGTAGGAGACTTCTGAGAAAATTGTTTGCCTCAACCATACTCTACTCTGATCTTATCCTTCACTGTGCACTGTTAATGAATCAAACGGAACTACTACTGATTTCTCCAAAAATGTATTTCAATATGTCCTGTAACTTTTCAATTAGAATTAATCCCAACTTGGCAGTGTTTCCTTTTAATTTATTTACAGGCTGTGGGTGTCAGTGGTAAAGTCAGTATTTACCGCACATCTGTAATTGCCTCCAAGGCAGTGGCTAATACAGTGCAATGCAAGACCACTTGACAGAGCAGTTATGCGGTCAATCACATTGCTGTGGGTCTGAAGAGGCAGACTGGGTCAAGGTGATAGTCTTCCCTTCACAAAACTGCTTTTGAAAACCCCCCAAGGTTGTTTTTTCTCTGGATGGGTAACTTCACAGTCGTCATTCTGAATATCAGCTTTTTTATTCCAGGCTTTATAATTTTATCTTAATTAATTCAATTTAAATTCTCCAGCTGCTGTGGAGAGATTTGAATTCATGCCCGGGGCCTCAGGATCATTAGCCTAGGAACAGGGCAGTGTCATTCTTTTGATTCTCCCTTTGATATGTACAAATGTCAAAGCAGGACCCTGGGAGGCTTGTAGGTGCAAGTCGGAAAGATCATCTAGTAGATGATTAATCTTTCATATGCAGAGGGCCACAGAAGTAGGCTGACAATTCTATGACAGTTAGGCAGCTGTGAAATTGAAGGTACGGCGCTGTACTGGTAACATAAAGGGTTCTGTGTGAAAACCAGACTGGAAGGTGACATGTGTCGAAGAACCAGCACCCACACAGGAATGTCAGAAGGCCTCTCCCAGCTTGTGAACCATCTTCTGCCTTAGGATTTGATGGACAGACCAGTCAGGATGTGTAAATGAAGCCTTTGCCAGGGGACATGAAAAAGACGACCAGCCAATGCTAAAACACAACAGGAGTTGAAAAACTGAGTCAACGCCACTTAGCTATTGAAGTTTTTTCATTCTTCCATGAATGTAGGCATCCTCCAGTATTTGCTGCTTGTCTGTGTTTGCCCCCAAACTGAGCAGTTTGCTCAGCCATTTCAGATGTGCAGGAAATAAGGCACGAAGGCAGTGCTGATTAGAGAAAACGGTGAGGGGTAATTTTATAACAGAAGCCTTGGCTACACAGGTGCGCAGGTTAGGGTGGATCGGCTATGCTAAATTGTCCCATAGCTTCCAGGGATGTGCAGGTTAGGTGGGTTACCCATGGGAAATTGGGAGTTATGGGGTTGGGGATCTAGGTGGGATGCTGTTCGGAGGGTGAGTAAAAACTCAATGGGCTGAATGGCTTTTTTCTGCATTGTAGAGATTCTTTGATTTTTAGGTAAGAGTTGTCCACATTGTTGTGGGCCTGGGGTTGGAGGTAGCCAGATCAGGTAAAGGCTCCTTCCCATAAGGTCACTCATGAACCAGACGGGACTTTACAACAAATGATGACTGTTGACGTATTCACCATCAATGATACTTTCTTTCAATTCCAGATTTAGTCACTGAAATCAAATTTCTCCTGCTGTCGTGGAATAGCACTGACAGAGGATGAGCCTGGGCCTCTGGATTACTAATCCAGTGACATCATCACTATGCTACCACCTCCCTCCAAACTGTGAGGAACAAGACTTAGCTCTACACTACTGTTAAGCATTATGATCAAGTATCTAATTGTATAACAGTTATCATGCATTCAAAAGATCCACTTAGGCACTTTACAGCCTCTAGACTCAATACTGATGTCAACAATTTCAGAGCATGCTCTCCGCCCTCCATTTTCCTGACTGCCATCCTCCCCAGCCGTGTCTGGGTCTCAGCAAAGCGAACCAATTTGCTTGTTTCCACACATTTATTTATACCCGTTTTCCTCCTCTATCTCTCCTGCCTTTGCCTTTCACTCTGGGAACCCTCACAATCTGTTCACTTGCTCCTCCTCTGTCCGTAGCATTAAAAAGACACTTCCCAGCTCCTTCCCATTCAGAAGAGGAGTCATACAGGATATGAAACGTTAACTCTCATTTCTTTGTCCACCGACGGTGCCAAATGTGCTGAGTCTCTCCAGAACTATGTTTTAATTTCGGATTTTCAGTATCCGTGGTACTTTACTTTTCTATGACTATCAGTATGTCAAGTTGCTTATTTTGAGGGGTAATTTACAAGACCATTCAACAGGTTGTAACTGGGTGATCGAGGATCAACAGCAGTGGGTCTGAAATACAGACACAGGAAAGGTGAGTGACCTCAGAGAAGCAGCACACAGTGTTCTTGGAACCTGCTGTGACCTGTGGAATAAGGAACCTTATAAACATGATTAATACTGTCAGGAGTCGATTAACATGTGTCTTTTCAGTTTTGTTGGAAATTTTCCCCTCATTTTGGCATCTGAAGCTTGATTGGACTATACATTGAAAATAGGAATAGCAGTAGGCCATTCAGTCCTTTCAGCCTGCTCCACCATTCATCGCTAATCGACCAACTCAGTCCCCTGTTCCCACATCTTCCCCCTTTAGCCTCAAGAATTAGATTGAATTTTTTCTTGAAAACATTCCATGTTGTGGCTTCAACTGCTTTCTGTGACAGAGAATTCCACAGGCTCACCACTCTCTGGTCAAAGACACTTCTCCTCCTCTCAGTCCTAAAGGGCCTTCTCTGTATCCTTAGACCATGCCCCCGAATCTGGGCTCCCTGGTCATCAGAAACATCCTTCCTGTCTTTCCCCTGTCCAGCCCTGCTAGAAATTTATAGGTTTCTATGAGATATCCTCTCATTCTTCCTGATACACCTGCATTCTTCTACACATTTATTGTACTATGGTGACTTTAAAGAATCTAAGGAGATGGTGGAATAGCTCAGGTGAGACAGATGAACAAGTGTGTCTGATCGCCCCAGAGACAAATGGTTGCTGAGTAAAACAGACAACACATCAGCTTAACAAGAACTAGGTTTTAAGCCAATGCACAGAAGCTGGATGTTATGCTGGATCTCACAGACACGAGGCTAGGTCAAGTCTATTATCAGAACGCCTCATGACAATTTTCTCTCATTTTTGGTTACAAGCTCAAACAGTAAAATGACAGGATTGCATTTACGTAGCACCTTTCATAACTTCAAACTATCCTGATGTGCAGTTACTATAGTAACTGTGGAAGCTAATTTGCATGCAGCAAGCTCACACAATCAGCAAAACCCAGATAATCTGATTTAGAGATGTTGGTTCAGGAATAAATATTACCTATAACAAAGGTAATATCTCCCTGGCTCTTCCTTGAGGTGGCGCCACATTGTCTTTTACATCCAACCAAGAGGGCAGAATGGGTCTTAACTTAATGACTGAATTGAAAGATGGAACCTTTGACAGTGTAGCACTGCCCACTACTGACCATGGGAGTGTGGGCCTGGATTTTGTGCTCAGTTCTCTGCAGGTTTGAGGCATCCCTGCTCCAATGTCCTGATTCAGAGGTGAGTGTATTATTCAATCATGGCTGGCATTCCAGGAGATTTCCCATGGAAGAGGAAAGACCAATTCTGACCACTTATGGCTTTTGACATTTCCCCCAACAATCAACTGGCTTTATGTACTCAATATCTGAGCTGCCCCCACTGCCACTCCACCAATGCGAGGGAACCCTGTTTCTGCTCGTGGTCTTAGTAAGGTACAACTGTGCAGAATTGGGATGGATAAAGATTACATTGCCTTTAATTACAAATCGGTCATGCTTCCCTTACCTAAGGAATTCACAGGCCAGGAATACCCAAAGACCACCATGCTAAAGAAAAAGATAACCACTGGAACTCACTAGCAGCCTCAGCTGATCCAAAGTTTGTCTGCCCAAACGGATTTCTAGCACTTGCATCCAAGCTTGGCCTTCTTCCCAGTCCGCTAAAGAATCCACTTCCAGGTGCCGGGGAACCAAAAACCGGCTGTGCACTAGTAGGCTGCAAAGAAAAAGTGAAAATTCAGCAATGCCCGACTTTCAGCTTCTGACAAAATTATTGAGGTGTCTAGCAGCAACAAATTGATATTTGTTTGGTACATTTAACATAGCAAAATGCCCCAGGGCTCTGCACAGGACGGTTGTCAGACAAAAGCGATTAAAAGAGGGATGGTTCAGGAGCTACTTCAAGGATAGAGAAATGGAGATGAGGAGTTGGGTGGGTGTGCAATGAAGAGAAGTTATGGAGCCTAAGGTCTAAGATACAGCCATCAATAGAGGATTGAAGAAGATCGAGGTTTAAAGGAGTGCAGAAACCTTAACCCGAGGAGGTCATAGAGACAAGATCATTCAGGAATTTGAGAACGGAGATGAAAATTTTAAAATTGAGGTTAGTCTGGGAGCCAGTGTAGTGTTGGTCAATTAGTTCAGGATTATGAGCAGGTGGAGTTTGGGAAGTGATGGGTAGAGTTTCGGACAATTTAACGCTTCCAAAGGACCGTAAACACAAGATTGGGCCAAGTGGCCTGCTGTATATCCCACATAATCCTACAATATCTAAACTATTTACATCGTCACCTCAACTCAGTTCCTTCTTTGGAAGGACTCACCTCTTGTACATCAGCAGTGCCGCAACTGAGAGCTAACCAGGACATCAGTGCACATTACCCAATACAAATATGTTGTATTTCACATGGGCTATAAAACCAAACAAATGATTTGCAGCTGATTTTGTGCTGTTCTACTTTAGGCCGCAGTTTCACACATGCTTGTGAGTCAGAATTATGAGTAAAGGACACAGGAACAGGGAGAGACCTTTCAACCTCTCAAACGTGTTCTGAAATTCAAATAGATTATAATTAGTGTTCACCCTAACTCCATTTACACACCATGGCGTCAGACCCTGTATTACCCTTGCTGATGAATCCATGCTGCACTCACTGTCAGGCCAATATATTTTCCACAGTGCAGACACCCAGAACTGAATGCAGTGCATGAGAAACGTGGTCTGAACAGAATTTTAACAAACTTCAACATAACTTGCTCAGCTTTGCATTCTAGACTCATGAAGATAAAAGCCAAGATTCAATTAGTCATTTTAAATACTGTCTACTAGCTCTTCGTGATTCTGGACTTAGGATCATTAAGTTTCTCTGTTCCTCCAAAGTTGCTGGCACGCGATTTTAAAAAAAGGCCTCAATCTATCCCAGGTCCTAATTGAATGCCTTGTAATTTTCCTACCATCTCCCACCTGCCACAGATTTACCCACTCAGTTAATCTGTCACTTTGCAGGTTCATGCCCTGAAGGTTGGGCCAAATGGCCTGTTTCTGTACTGTATATCCCACTTAATCCTATGTCAACCACAATTTCAAGGCTGCTTACATTGCCACCTGACTTAGTGCTGCCAGCAAACTGGGATACATGATACAGTGAAAAAACTGGGGCCCCAGCACAGACCCCTGAGGAATACCACTAGTCACCTCTGGACAATGGATCACAGGAACCTGCCTGAGTACATGTGCAGTGGCAGCTAGTGAAGCAGTTGTAAACATTAGTCACCTGCTCCACCACTCAACTCTTTCCGTTCGATGTGAAAGGAAAACACAAAAGTCAGGAAAACCACAGGGGATTTTGGTAGCAGCAGGAATGTGTTTGTCAGCTGGTTCACATACAGAACCACAGCATTATTACAATCAAACAGATGCGACAGAGGCCATAAAAGATAAACAGAAAATGCTGGAAAAGTACTCAGTAAGTCAGGCAGCACCCGTGGTAAGAGAGACGCAGTCGGATATTTTAAATCGATAAGCTTTCATCGGAGCTAGAAGAAATTTGAGATGAGGGGCAGGAAATAAAGGGGTGGGGTGGGAGATGTCTAGAAGAACATGAGACAAGGGTTTCCAAACATGACTGCCTCTGAGGGCATGGACCAAACATGTAGGATTGTGAGCATGGGCTAGGAATGGCAATGTCGATCAGAGACTCTGGCCAGAACAGCAATTTTCTTTCAAGCTAACTTGTCAATGGGTTGATTTTGTCACCTTTATTAGCTGTTCAGTTTAGAGCAATGATTGACTAATTGGAAACTTCCTTGGACACACTGGTAATGGAGGTAGTTTGAACACGCCCTATGGCGAGGGGAAAGACAGTTCATCAGCTGTGCATCAGCTCAGAGGCTCTGCTAGACGCAACAGCATGATTCCTAGCTCTGATGAATCAACAGGCTCCTCAAACTATTGTGGACCTTTGTTTCTACTGAAAAACTGCACCCTCGCAGTGTTCTCTCAGTGCCAAGATGATGTGTAGTAACTGGCAATGTGCTGTGCAGAATTCAACAGGCCATGTGCAAGGGTTGGTCCCTTTATGATGCGAAGGAGGACAGTCACTGAGGGATTGTGTGGTGCAAGAACCAGGCCTTGTACAGCAAGGGGAAATGTAGAGGAGGACACAGAGAACATAACTGGCATAAAAACCAGAGGAGGGAGAGGTTTTGTTTAAATATGTGAATGCAGTGGTTGCAAGATTAATGGGAGCAGACTTACACAAACACAGTGTAAGCAGCCACGCAGCCCTCGAGACTATCGTGCTACTTTTAAGATCATGGCTGATCTGATGACTCCACATTCCTATCCCCTTTGACCCCCTTGCTTATCAAGAACCTGTCTACCCGGCCTTTAACAATTTCAAGGGGTCTGTTGCCACTGCCTTTTGAAGAATTTCGATGACCCCGGCCCACTGTGAGATAAAAATTCCTCCTCATTTCTGTCTTAAAAGGGTAACCACTTATTTTTAAACCAGTGACCTTTAGCTTGAGGTTCCCCCCACATCCTTTCCACATGCGACCTATCAGACTGCTCAAAATCTTATACTTTCCAATCAGTCACCTTTCATTCTTCTAGACTCCAGTGGATACAAGCTGAACGTATCCAACCCTTCCTCATACAACAACCCAGGTATGAGTTTAATAAATATCCAAACGGCTTTCAAAGTACTTACATCCTTCCTTAAATAAGGAGACCAATACTGTACACAGTACTCAAGTTGTGGCCTCACCAGTGCCCTTCATAACTGAGATATAACATCCCTATTTTTGTATTCAATTCACTCACAACAATATCCTCTTAGCTTTCAATTAGCATTCAACAGTAACTCTCAAAAGGAAATTAGATAAATACTGCCAGGGAAGGAAATATGGCCACTTGGAAACACACTTGCAAGAGCCAACACTGACTCAATGGGCCGAATGGCCTCTTTAATGGCCAGTAAGATGCTACAAAAGGTGGCACTGGGCTGCAACTGCATGACAAAACAAATGAGAGATTCTCTTGACAACAGCTTGAGTGTTGCTGTTTTATTGCGCTGTTTCTTACACAGTGACCCTCTGGTTCCATGAGAATGCTTGGGAAGAGGCAACTCAGTGCCTTCAAGTTGAATGGGATCTTACCTGACCAAACACAATGGCGGAGCCTGTAGACTGACCAAATACAGAGCCTGAAGTGTTGCCAAAACCTGCAAAGTATAAAGATTATTAGCAATTAGGAGGTGCAACCATTTCACTATCTTTAATCCATTTTAAGCTGTATAGATATGTCATAGACATGTACAGCATGGAAACAAACTCTTTGGCCCAACTCATCCATGCCAACCAGATACCCTAAATTAATTTAGTCCCATGTGGCCCATATCGTTCTAACTCCTTCCTATTCATATACCCATCCTTATAAATGTTGTAATTGTATCAACCTCCACCATTTCCTCTGGCAGTTCGTTCCACACATGCACCACCCTCTGTATGAAAATGTTGCCCCTCAGGTCCCTTTTAAATCTTTCCCCTCTCACCTTAAACCTATGCCCTCTAGTTTTGGACTTCCCTACCCTGGAGAAAAGACCTATTTGCTCTATCCATGCCCCTCATGATTTTATAACATGTTTGAGGAATGAGAATATTTGTTGCATCATTCACAGACAACTGAACATACGATTCTGAGATTCTTACAGTAGAGTCACAGAATTGTTACAGCTTCAACACGCCATATCTGCTCTGGCTCTGTGAATGAGTAACATATCTAGTACCATTTCACCGCCTTCTCCGACACTCTCCTTCTTAGACAATAGTCCAATTGCTTCCTGAAAGCCTTGATTAAACCTGCCTCCACTACACACATAGGCATAGCATTTCAGATCTTAACCATTCATTTTGTTAAAAAGTTTCTCAAGTCTCCAACATTCCTCTTGCCAATGACTTCAATTCTATGCATTCTTGTTCTCGATCCTTCCAACACTGTGAACTCCGTTGAATAACCCCATATTCAAAATAAGGGCAGAATAGAGAGGGGGGGAACCATGGAGGTTATGATGAACAAATACATGAATAGGAAGGTAATAGAGGAATACGAATCATGTAAGTGAGAACAGTTTTAGTGTGGAAAGGCAAAATGTGTCGGTGCAGGCTTAGAGGGCTGAAGGGCCTGTTCCTGTGCTGTATTGTTCTTTGAAGAACACCAATTTAAGGTGATCGGCAAAAGATCCAAAGGCAACAAGATAAAAAGCAGTCTTTTTAGGACCTGGAATGTGCTGCTTGAGGGTGTGGCAGAGGCAGTGGTTTTCAACAAGAAATTGAATCATTGCCCAGGTAGAAAAGATTTGCAGGGCTGTCAGTAAGAGTTGGAGCTGGGGATGAGGACAGTTTGCTTTTGCAGATAGCCAGCACTGACATACTGAATGGCCTCTATCTGTGATTCTAGACACAAGATGTTCAAAACAACTGGGGAACTGGCTGCAGAGAACAATGCTAGGTAGAATTAGGAAGAAAGTAAGCCACACATCATTTAGGTGGTTGGGAAAAACTAAATTGTGCCAAACTTGAGAATGAACAAAATGGTGGGTTGGTGGGAGAGAGAAAGAGAGAGAGAGAGAGAGAAACAGACAGAGAGAGAAACCTGCAGGATAAGCTTAAGTCAACCATCGCTGGGGATAAAAAATAAGTGATGTATCTGATAAAGTTCTGATACTGCAACTGACAGATACTCAACCACCATGGAGGACAGCCTAGCCCCATACATTCTGCACAAGTTGTACAACAGACAAAGGTTGGCCCACATTTGCTGTTGCAGATTTGCCCTTTGCCCACATCACAAAGCATCATGGTCCAGGCCATTGCTCCAGTTCATTCGACCCAAAGTTAAAACAAAACAGATTGCTTTGACACTAACCCTGCCCCACTGCATGCACAGTCCACACCCCTCAATCCACTCTCCCTCAAGGGAGGAATGGGCACAGTTCATATCTGCTCAACAACAATTTCCATGCACTGGCTGGAACAAGGATTTCGTCAAATCAATCAAGCAAGGCTTCAGCTGTACAGTGTGTAAAAATAAGGAAAAGACAATTAATATTTCCTTCTATTTTCAAGGTGGCAGCTTAAAATGGCTGCTTTACGGTGTCCCTGTGTATCGAAGCAAGTAATCAGCTCCAAACCGGAGCCTCACAGTCACTGGGCTTTATTGATGCACTGGTGGCACAGAGCAGTCACTATCCAATTGGATGACAGTAAAGGTTCGGGAGGCTCTTCTGAAGTCTATTCTCAATTGTTGCTGCCCTGTACACTTTAAATTGTCATACAGTACAGAAATAGACCCTTTGGTCCAACTAGTCTAAGCGAACATTATCCCAAACTAAACCAGTCCCATTAGCCTGCTCCTAGCCCCGATCCCTCCAAACCTTTCCTATTCACGTACTTATTCAAATGTCTTTTAAACGTTCATCATACTCACATCCACCATTTCCTCAGGAATGAACTTCCACTTGTTCACTGAAAGTTCATTCCACTTGCAAATCATCCACTGTGTAAAAAGTCTGTCCCTCATCTTTTTTGAATCTCTCTCCTCTCACTTTAAAAATGTGTCCCCTAATCTTGAAATCCCCCACCCGAGGAAAGAGACAACTACCATTAACTCCATCTATACATCTCATTATTTTATGAACTTTTATCAGGTCACCTCCCAAACTCCTACGCTCCAGTGAAAGAAGTCCCAGCCTATCTTTATAACTCCAACCTTCCATACCAGGCAACATCCTGGTAAATCTCTTCTGAACTCTCTCCAGCTTGGTAACATCCTTCGTACAACTGGGCGACCAGAACATTCCAGGGGTTGAACTTTGCCAAAATTGAGGATACTCTCCATATTCTCCTCTGCTGGTCAGGGCTTTTCAGGAAAGTCCTGAAAATGTGGCAACAATTTCAAAGCTACAATGCTGAACCTCTGTCATCGTTACAGTGCTTCAGTTTCTGGAGAGGATCTGATAACTGATGGGGTGATAATTTGTGCTTACTTACTAACAATACTAGTTTCTAAACTTTCTGAATGTAGAATATGCGTGGAAGCAGCTGATGGAAGGGAAATTATTCAACTGCAGTGAAAGTTTAATATACAATTATTCACAATGAAAGTCATGTCTATTTCTAAATCAAAGAACTGGACATGTGCCTGCTCCACATACTTAGCTGATGTTTTACATTTTGATTGAAAATTGCTCCCTCAGAGATGGGGGATAAACAATTGAAACACAACATGAACTGAAGGAAGAAAGAAACTCATGGGAAAAAAATTCATAACATCCATAGTTTTGTGTGTGCGTGTCCGTGTGAGACTGTGTCTGTGTCCGTGTGTGTGTGTCCGTGTGTGTGAGAGAGACTGCGTGTGTCTGTGTCCGTGTGTGTCCGTGTGCGTGTGACTGTGTGTGTGTGTGACGGTGTGCGTGTCCCCGTGTGTGTGTGTGTGAGAGAGACCATGTGCGTGTGAGAGAGACCATGTGCGTGTGTGTGTGTGTGTGTGAGAGAGACCGTATGCGTGTGTGTGTGTGTGAGAGACCGTGTGTGTGTGTGTGTGTGTGTGTGTGAGAGAGAGAGACCGTGTGCGTGTGTGTGTGTGTGAGAGACCGTGTGCATGTGTGTGTGTGAGAGAGAGTGAGAGGGAGACCAGGCGTGAGGGGGAGGGAGAGAGAGGGAGAGAGTGTCTGCGTGTGTGTGGTTTTGGAGGGGAAGATACTGTCGGAGAGAGTTCCTCAATTTTCCTTACCCTTGGCCTGGAAAAGACAGGTATCATATAAACACAAGAACTCTTTTTCATTTAGTCTCAAAAAGGTAAACAAGGCAGGTATCAAAGTAAAAAGTCTTACTTGATGGTTGCACAAAGCCGAATCCAGAAGATGTTGCCGAGCCGGTTCCAAAAGCAGGGCTTTGCCCGAAGCTAGCATTCTGTCCAAATGTTGGGGCACCAGACTGCCCGAATATGGTACCACTGCTGAGAGGCACCTGTCCAAATGGGAATGTACTGGTATTGCTGGTAGTGGGCGTGCCAGGAAAGGAAAAGTTGAATTTACTGCTGGACAGCTGCTGGTGCCCAAAGCCTGCGTCAGAGGCCTGACCAAAAGCAGCTTTTGCTGAGCTGGTGCTGTCGGCAATGGTAGGGGCGGTGATACCGTTTGTGCCTTGTACAAAGGTGGACGGGGCAGTTGTGGTTACCGGCTGGCCAAAGCCCAGGGTTGGTGTTGTGCTGGTATCCACAGGCTGACCAAACAGCTGGGATGTCAGGGGTGATGGCACAGAGGGTCCGGGCGCAGCGGTTCCAAACAGCGGTGCTGTGGTAGCCTCACTGCCACTTGTGGGTGCAGCAGTGCCCATGGACTGAGGCTGTGGGGCAGTACTTCCAACAGATGTCACCAAAATCGTGCTGGATTCTGGAGAAATGACCAGTCCTGGCATAAACTGACTGCTCGTTGATGTGGATGTGGATGTTGTCCCTCTGACACTTGGAACAGAAGGACTTCCTGCAGTGCTTACTGAGGCTTTGGATGCCAGTATTTTTGGGCTCTGTGCCACTGTCTGTTTCACAGCTGCACCGGCGATGGTCAAGCTGCTAGTACGAGATGAAGGCTTTCCATCAGGAGAGAACGACGCCGTGGATTCAGTTAATGAAGCTGAGAGGGGTGTGAATGTGTCGGCAAAAGTTGAATCTTGCAAAGTGTTTATAGCAGCAATGGCAGCAGCAATTTGACCAGCAGTACTTATGGACTCCTCTTGTTTACAAACAAAATCAGATTTGCTACCTATCGAATGTAAAGTGCAAGGTGAACTAGGAGTTCTGGTGCTAATTGCAGAAGCAGAGAGATATGGCGTTCCACTTGGTCTAGGCATAACTGTGCCAATTGAGGATACTGGCATTACTTCTGCAGATTCTGACTTTCCAATTTGGAAGACCTCGCCGAAGGCCACAGATGGAGGAGCTGTTGGGGTTTTGGCCGTTTGGGCAAAGATGAAATTATCCTGTGAACATCTATCCAATCTGGAGGCACCATCTGTCTGACTGACCACAAGTCCGGAGAAGCTGCCGATTGTGACCCCTTTAGGACTACCCTCAAAGAGGTCTGTTTCAGATTGCAGTGGTGTTACTTTGGGCTTAGTCTGTGGTGGAAAAGCCTCGGGCAGCACCACCTCGGACCTGCACTCGGGCAGCGCCACCTCGGACCTGCACTCGGACAGCGCCACCTCGGACCTACACTCGGACAGCGCCACCTCGGACCTGCACTCGGACAGCGCCACCTCGGACCTGGACTCGGCAGGCACCACCTCGGGCCTGCACTCGGGAAGAGTCACCTCGGACCTGGCCTCAGGCAGTGCTACCTCGGACCTGGCCTCGGGCAGCGCCACCTCGGACCTGGACTTTGCAGGCGCCACCTCGGGCCTGCACTCGGGAAGAGTCACCTCGGACCTGGCCTCGGGCAGCGCCACCTCGGACCTGGATTCTGGCAGCGCCACCTCGGACCTGGACTCGGGAGGAGCCACCTCGGACCTGGACTCGGGAGGAGCCACCTCGGACCTGGACTCGGGAGGAGCCACCTCGGACCTGGACTCGGAAGGAGCCACCTCGGACCTGGACTCGGAAGGAGCCACCTCGGACCTGGACTCGGAAGGAGCCACCTCGGACCTGGACTCGGAAGGAGCAACTTCGGGCTTTGGCCAAGATGGAACCACAAGCGTAGGCTCTGGAGGAACAACCTCAGGCTTGGGTTGCAGCGAAGGTACCTCAGGCTCAGGCTGTGGTGAAACATCAGGCCTGGCCTGTGGCAGGATCTCAGGTTCAGGCTGCACTGGAGCTTCAGTTTTAGATGGGTAAAGCTCAGCTGAGGAAGTGCGAGATTCCGGTTTGGATGGCTGTGTTTCGGAACTGGACTGCTGATCCTCAAGTTTGCTTGCAGCTGCAGGGATGGTGGACTCAGGAGCTGCTCCAGTTACAACTGGCCTGCCAGCTGGTTGCAGCTCTGGACACGGAGCATTAGGGGTACAGATGCCAGTGACTGATGTAGATTCAGCTGCAGAGGCAGAGCTAGAGCTGGACTTTAAGCTCCTTTGTGAAGGTGGGACATCAGTTCCCAGTGCAAAGGATATTTTATTGGGCAATCCTAAGGCGGAGCGAAGAGCATCCTTTGTAACTATAGAATATCCTGTAGAGCAGAAGAGGAATTTTAGTATGAGTCATTGAGGTCAGACCATTAGTGAACATGAAACATATAACACAAAACAGGAATGTAAAAAGACAGTTAAAAATAAAGCATGAGGAGCTGCTATTGAAAAAGAGTTGAACTGCCTGTACAAAAGCACAATGTCCGCAATAAAACAAAGAGAATTGAAGACAATAATTCACAAGGAATACGATACAGCCAGGACTACTGAAATGCAACAGAGAAATTAGTACTGGGAATTATACATTGCACAATACAACATATATCGAAAAGATAGAAGGAAGCAAGGGGAGTTGGGGTACCTGTACTTAAAGAGATAACTTACTTAGAGATAATAATGGTAACAGACACAAAGTGACAAAGCCATCAGTAAAGCAAAAATCGAAGAGGTGTCACATAATAAACTAATGAACAAAGTCACAGTATGCAGGGCCTAGGGACAATGAGCAGAACAGATAGCTGGTTGATTAAAAAGAGACACAATACAAAGAGCAAGGGTAAAGGATATCTATTCAGAGTGGGCAAGTTGGGTGCAGCATTGATTCGCATTTGGATCGCTGTTACAAAAATATTAAATAGTAACATTAACATTAAAAATATATAAATATTAACAATATAGATTCTACAAACAAATACAAATCTCTAAATTTGTGGATGCTATCAACGTTGTAAGGCCAGCCAAACACTAAGAAGAATTGTAAGCATTTTGCAGACTGAGCAAATAAGTGGCAACTGCCTTTTGAAATATGGATAAATAAGGGACATCACGTGTTATTCAGAAAAATGAGGCCACATATTAGGAAAATAGGAATCTAAATAGAGGAAAGGCACACAGGGATCTGAATACACACACACAAATCAGTAATTTAAGTTAATAAGGCCATAAAAAAATCAAATCAACACAAATGTTTATTTCTAGAGGCACAGAACTGAAACGTGGAGAAGTTATGCTAAACCTGTATTGAACCATAGTTAGATCACATGGAAACAGTATGCTCTTCATATTCTTAGAAAAAAAAAAGTATAAATGCAGTGGAAAAAGTGTAAATAAAAAAAAATTCATAAAGATTATACCAGAAGTGCAATCTTGTACCTATCTGGAAAGAATCGAGAAGATGTGGTTCTTTTCTCTTGGAAAAAAGGGAAACCTTCAGGGTAACTGAAGTAGGTCTTTGCTATTTGACTGAGTAGAGAGAACGCTGGACTTACAAGAAGCCAGAGGCCATAAACTGAAGATACTTATTAATAAATCAACACCAAATAGAGAAGAACCTGAAGAATGATGGGGAAGTGGAAGATGCTACTAGAGGGCATGGTTGAGGTGAGTTGAAAATGTTCATTTGGTGGAAGCTAGATAGGTCCATGGGTGAAGGGATAGAGAATTGCTTTGATAAATGTTAGGAGGAGGACTAGAGTCGGGCTGAAAGGCTTCGTTTGATGCAGCATATTCTACACAGCTCAACATGTTCTCAACAGTCCCAAGGAAATCCTAAACAGTTTGAAGAGCTCTCAATTCTGAGCAATGGGATTAACATTTTAGAAAATCCTTATTAAATTGACTGTCTCGAAACAAACTGAATATGTACATCTAACCAATCAGCCCAAGACTTACCTTGAGCCTTGTTGCTCAGTGCATTTAATGAGGATGTGCTTGGTGACGTGAAATGGAATCCACTGCGAGAGAAAAAGAAAAATACACACTGTTAATGAAATCAGTTTGACCCTCTCAAGTCCAGGTCAACATTTCCTCCGATATCACAGGGAACACCATGTCCCTAGGGGTGAGGGGGTAAGGGGGTAAGATGGTACCAATGCCACCAGGTATGATCAAAAAGTGACATGCACACCAGTTGAAAAGGATTGTCAACAAACATAACAGACATTATACAACACTGAACATGCAAATTTGGCCCAACCAGCCCACGCTTTCTCCCACCTTTAGTCATAAATCTACCATTGTAACCATTTAGTCTGTTCTCCCTTGCTTAAAATGCTTTCCTACCTTGCTCCTGAATATACCCATCCTATTCACTTCAACCGCTCCTACATTGTGAGTTCCACATTCTCACCACTCTGTATAAAGAAGTTTTTTCTGAATTCTCAATTGGATTTCCTGAAGAATTTTCCTCTCAGAGCATCTAGACAAGCTCTTTCCCACAAGAGGAAAACATTTAGGGAAGGTGATGGCCTAGTGGTATTATCACTGGACTGTTAATCCAGAGACCCAGATAATGCTCTGGGGACCCGGGTTCAAATCCCACCATGGCAAATGATGGAACCTGAATTCAATAAATATCTGGAATTAAGAGTCTAATGATGACAATGAATCTATTGTTGATCGTCGGAAAAACCCAATGTCCTTTAGGGAAGGAAACTGCCATCTTTACCTGGTCACACTTACACATGACTCCAGACACACAGCAATGTGGTTGACTCTTAACTGCCCTCAGGGCAATTAGGGATGAGCAACAAATGCTGGCATAGCCAGTGACGCCCTCATCCTGTAAATGAATTTTTAAAAAATTGTCTCTGCATTCACTGGAGCTTCTGTGAAGTTATCTTTCAGTGCTAAATTTTCAAGAGAAAAAGAAAGACTCAGCATGTCAATCCTGGGCTGTTTTGTCAACCCACATATTTATGATATCATACTCTTCAATCTTCCCTGCATCATGTCCAGTGTCTCTGTGCCCTTTTTGCAATATGGTGACTAGAACTAGAAACACTATCCTAAATAAAGGTCTGGTATAGATTTATCAGAGCTTCCCTATTGTTTCAATTTTCACCTTCTAGAAATCAATCCTGGAGCTTGGTTTGCTGTTTTTCGAAGGCCACGCAAACCTGTGGTAATTTCTGAAGGGTCTAGACCCGAAACGTCAGCTTTCCTGCTCCTCTGGTGCTGCTTGGCCTGCTGTGTTTATCCAGCTCTGCACCTTGTTGTCTCAGATTCTCCAGCATCGGCAGTTCCTACTATCTCTCTACAACTTTTGAGAGATTGATATATTTGCACTCTGAGATCTCTGTTGTTCAGCTCACCTATTCTTCCTATGAAACCACCCAACAGTAATCAGTGTTGAACTTCATTTGCCCTTTTTCCATGTTTATGTTCTCCTGCAAGTTGGTACATTCCTGCTCAGTACTAATACCACTGCCAAAAGTATGGTTCCATCTGCAAATTTAGAAATCGCACATTTCTTGGCATGTCCAAATTGTTGATGTAAATTGTGAACAAATTTCAGGCCATTGATATCTTCCCTGATGTTGACTGGACATTCCAAGGCCAGATGCAGCCTCCATCCTAGCTACATGTTCTACTATCTTAAAAGTCACTTACGTGGAGGCTCCTGGGAATGAGGAAATTTTATGGAGCTGCTCGCTTGGGGCTGCAAACATGGATAGGTCAGGTTTCAGCACACTCCCTGCAATATAAAAAAAAGAAAATTCAGCACAGTACAGGCTTCTCAAAATACAGCAAATGGTGGGGGGAAGAACTGGTTGAGGAAGCCCAGTAAAGACAGAACAAAATTACTGGTATTGGCAAGAAACGTTTTAAACAGTAAATTACCTTTAACATATCATAAACAATGGACAAAAACAATAACATCATGAAAGCTGGGGTACATGTGTCATGCCAAGAATATAAGAAATTGGAGTAAATCATTGTGCCTTCAAGTCTCCTGTCATTCACTGTGATCAAGCTTTCACCTTCTTGTGCTAGCCCAATATCCCTCCAGTCTCTGAAGGACTTATTGATCTCGATCTTGAATACACTCAATCACAGAGCATCCGCTGCTCTCTGTACTAAAGAGTTTCAAACATTTACAAGCCTTTGACTAAAGAAATTTCGCATCTCCAGTCTAAATATGCTTGACTATTTTAACGTGCGACTAAACTGCAGAGAATTCAGGCTTACTTTAGTTGATCTCTCCTCATTGACCACTGGACAAAGGGCTTGCCCAGTCTGGGCTATTGCTGTTTCACACTCTTTCTAAACCAAGCATATTGAGATGAGTCAAAAACTGCACTGTACTCCAGTTACAGACCAAGCAAGGTTCCACACAACTGCAGCAAGGATTCTTTATTCTTATAGAAAAGTAGAAAATAGGTGCAGGAGTAGGCCATTCGGCCCTCCAAGCCCGCACCACCATTCAATATGATCAAGATTGATCATGCGCAATCTCAGTATCCCACTCACGTTTTTTCTCCATACCCCTTGATCCCTTTAGCCGTAAGGGCCATGCCCTGCTCCCGCCTGAATATATCTAATGAACTGGCCGCAACAGCTTTCTGTGGTAGAGAATTTCACAGGTCCACAACTCTGTGTGAAGAATTTCTTCCTCATCTCAGTCCTAAATGGCTTACCCCTTATTCTTAGACTGCGAGCCCTTGTTCTGGACTTCCCCAATATCAGAAACATATTTCCCACATCTAGCCTGTCCAGCCCCATGAAGATTTTATATGTTTCTCTGAGATGTCCCCCCCTCCTCATTCTTCTAAATTCCAGAGAGTGCAAGCCCAGCTGATCCAATCTTTCTTTATATGTCAGTCCTGCCATCCCGAGAATCAGACTGATGAAGCTTCACTGGACTCTCTCAATAGCAAGAATGTCCTTCCTCAGACTAGGAGGCCAAAGCTGCACACAATACTAAAGGTGTGGCCTTACCAAGGCCTGGATAACTCCAGCCAGACATCCTTACTCCGATACTCAAATCCTGTCACTATGAAGGTCAGCATGCCATTAGTTTTCCTCACCACCTGCTGCACCTGCATGACAACCTTCAACGACTGCTCCATCACAGCACCCAGGTCTCGTCGCACCTCACCTTTTCCTAAACTGCTACCTTTTAGATAATAATCTGCCTTCCTGTTTTTGCCACCGTTACCCTCACATTTATCCACATTACATTGCATTTGCCAAGTATTTGCCCACTCAAACAGCTTGTTCAATAAAGGCTAGCATATTATTTTCTTTCTGAACTGTTTGCTAAAACCGCAAGTTTATTTCTAACTTGTTCAGAGTGCCAGCATTTATCCAGTCTCTCGTGTGCCTTACCATCTTTCCTTCCAAAGTGGATTTTATTATTTAGCAAATGCAAAACTCCAAAGCCAAGCAATAGTCTCCTAATTAGCCTAATACAAAAGGAAGATGGTTCTGGTTGTTAGAAATCAGTCATCTCAGCTCCAGGGCATCTCTGCAGGAGTTCCTCAGGGTAGTGTCCTAGGCCCAACCATCTTCAGCTGCTTCATCAATGACCTTCCCTCAGGTCAGAAGTGGGGATGTTCACTGATGATTGCACAATATTCAGCACCACTGGTGATTCCTCAGATACTGAAGCATTCCTTGTTCAAATGCAACAATACCTGGACAATATTCAGGCTGATTAGTGGCAATGTAGTATTTACACTATAAAATTGCCAGACAATGACTATCTCCAACAAGAAAAAAATATACCATTGCCCCTTGACATTTAATGGTGTTATTACCGATATTAACATTCTGGGGATTACTAATGGCCAGCAACTGAACTGGACCAGCCTTATGGATTCTATAGCTACAAAAGGCTAGAAATTTTTGAGGATATTTGTAGCTCGGGTTGTGGATAAAGTTGTAGGCTTGCTCGCTGAAACATCTGCAACCAAACACACTGGCTCAGCGAGCAAGTCTAAAACCTCAGGCTAGTAATGCCGCAGCAAGTAACTCCCCACCTGACTCCCCAAAGCCTGTCCATCATCTACAAGGCGCAAGTCAGATAAATAATGGATTGGCATAGCTCAAACAACACTCAAGAAGCTTGACACCTCCATATCAAACAGCCACACTTGACTGTTACTGACTCATCTCCTTGAACATTCACTTTCTTCACCACTGATACATAATGGCAGCAATGTGTTACCATCTACAAAATGCAGTGCAGGAAAACACCAAGGCTCCTTTGACAGCGCCTTTCAAACCTATGACCTTTTATCATCTAGAAGGACAATGATACCAGATGCATGAGAACACCATTATCTGCAAGTTCCCCTTCAAGTCAAACACCATCCTGATTGGGAAATATACCAGTGTCCTTTCAAGTCGCTGGCTCAAAATCCTGGGGTTTCTTTCCCGACAGCACTGTGGCTATTCCTAACCAACCCTGCCCCCTCGAAGGACTGTCATGGTTCAAAAAAGCCAGCTCAGCATCACCTTCTCAGGGAAATTGGGATGTGCAATGAATGCTAGTGTAGGCAATGATGTCCACATCCCATAGATGAAAAACAAACTTACTCTCTTGAGTACCATTTATTGTCTATGGACTTAAATGGTTTACATTCCTTTGCAATCTTTTTTCCATTCTCCTCAGTGCTTACTTTCTCGTCTAGTTTTGTAATAGAAAAGTAGTGATCTGGGAGAATTTGAAGTACTGTTTTGTGAATAAATAGATGTTCTTCTAAGCAGAAGAGGCATATTAACACAGCATCAGCGCCGACTGAAAATGCAAATTTCCTGCTCCTCAAATGTTGCGCATCTTTAGCGGGCATTTGTACCATTGAGCTGACATGAGGGGATATGGGTCAAATCAGTATTGAAGTGAATCCCTGTATTTAAAATTTCAAATCATGGGCTGATTCGGAACTGTGGCATTCAACTTGCATTCAGTCAGCTGCATTTACTAAACGAGAAGATAAATGAAATCAATCACGTTAATGGCACGCCCGAGAAATCCTCTGTGCACTTAATAATAATCTTGTTGTGAACTCCACAACCTAAAATTCAAATTTGGGCAAACTGCACATCAGAAAAAAAGCATAAATAAGTCCAACCTTTAAGGAATACAGTGGCAGACTTCAGGTGGGCACAGACTAGTGAAATGGACAGGCACGGCAAGTGTAATTTAATCCAACAAAATGTGAAAAGATACATTTTGGAAGGAAGAATGAGACAACATGTTGTAAACTTTAAACTAAGTGTAGACCCGCACAAATCTATGAAGGAGAAACGGCATCAGGCACATTCTTACTGAATGGTGGAGCAGGTTAAATGGCTCAAACATGTTCCGAATTTGAATGCTTGTATGACAAGTTAAAGATAAACTTTAGAGGATCTGCAGTCTTATAAACAGAAGCATACGTACAAAAACAAGGAGGGTTTGCTGAAGCTCAAGTCTCAGAGTACTGTGTCCAGTTCTGAGGACCACATTACTGAAAGGCACCAGAATGGCACTGGCCACAAGGAAGCTCAGTTATGAATCATGTGGGGATGAAACTGGAATTATTCTCTTGCAGAGGAGGGGGGGGAAATATGGCAAAGCTGTGTAATATTATTAAGAGCTTTGATAGAGTAAACCATGAGAATTTGCTTCCACTGATTGGAGTGTTGGTACCCAGAGGACACATGCAACATAACTAGCAAAGAACCAGAGGAAGATGAGAATTAGATTTTTAAAAAAACACATTGGATTTATGATATGCTGGAACATGCAGCCTGAAAGGATAAGGGAAGCAAATTCAACAGTAACTTTGAAAATGTAGTTGAATAAATACTTAAAACGCTTTCAGGACTGTGGGGAAAACAGCAGAGAGAGTGAGAATAAAATGGAAAACTCTTTCAAACAGCCAGCTCAGGCACAGTGAGCCTTCTATACACGAAAGATTTCTGGGCTCTGCTCATGACCTATGACAGAGTTTGGAGAACCGTACATGAAAAGTTAGTACAGTCAGTTCACAATTCTCAAACTCAACTTGCATCATTTAGTGTGGTTACTCCTCTGCAAGGTGCAACACCACAATCAACACTTCAGTGTAACTCAGATAACAGTTGTAACCTTATAGATCATTGTGCTTCAGTTAAGTTACCAGGCTGTCATTTGTGGATTGCACTACGTTCCTTACATCCCCATTCCAACTCACTCTTAGCAAAATCTCCATTCATCTTGTAAAAGCCTCTTTCTTATATCCTCATCGTGAATCCCAAATCCCTTACCTATGGATACAGAGGCCATCAAACTCGATGATGATGCGTAGGAGGATTCTGGTAAACTTGATCCAGATGGACTGGGCTCTGTTTTCGCAGGCACTTTCACAGGTCCCTGTAACATTCAGCAGAGATTCAAATTTAGAAGGTAGTGGCACACCTGCTGCACAAGCTGACTGTCTGTGGAATAATAACATGTGCATTTATGCATTGCATCACATCATGCTCGAAGCCAAGTATAAAAGGTTTCACTTAAAAATATCTGTATTGATGCATTTGGTCAACAATAGCTGGTCATTATTTAAAAAAAAAACCTGATCAATTCAAAATAACTAATCAACACCTGGAGTCCCAAACCACTTTCCCACTCAATACATTGAATGGCCTTCTCTTCCTTAACACATACACTGATCAATATATTAACGTTGCAATGAATAAGATCAGGAACACCTTATTGGACAGGACTGGGTGAATAACACTTCATGTTTGATCCTAGGTAGAAGCAGGCTGGGATTTCTTTTCAAGTGAACACTTACCAGTTGTTAGTCACCGACTGGATAAAGCTTCAAGTAACAGATCTCTGAAGGGAAGGAAAACCTCTGCTTTCTGGCTTTCCCCAATGTTAGCAGATATTTTTCATTCAAATATGTTTGCAGCCTTCTAGCTCTCCCTATAAAACCACATTGGCTGAGGCATACCGCTTTTGAATGAATGAATGACATTCCCTAATGACTTGTTCCTGAAGCCACTGGCTTCCCTCAAACCAGAGGCCACTCCAAGTATGGTTTGTCCATGCTATGTGCCCAGCTCCCTCCTCGCTCCCCACACTGGTCCCTGCACTCCCTTCATCCAGCCTTTCCCCCTATCAATGTCACCCTCGCCTGCACATCAACGCAAAGATGGATTCCCACATTAAATCAAACAACTTGGTGTAACCTTACCTGTTTGATCTGAGTCCCAATCTCGGTTTCAGATGCTGACAAAGAAGAGCTGGAAGAGAGAACGGGGAAAAAGCACACCGGGGAGGATTAATTGAAGTACTGCATTTAAAAATTTCCCCAAATACTTCCACCAATGATTGAATCATTTCTACACTGCAAGGTGGACAAGAATATTTTATAAGGAAGCATGATACAAACACAGAAGTTGGTAGGGGTTGTGTACAAGAGGGTTGACCAGGACTTTTGAAATTAAGACCATAAGATATGGCAGCAGAAATTAGGCCATTCAGCCCATCTGCTCCGCCATTCAATCATGGCTGATAAGTTCAATTCAATGTGAGGTATCAGATGTCGGTCTCCCTCATGCCTTACGCAGAAGATAATGGATTCAAATCCATTTCCAGTAACTTGAGCACCCAATCCAACTGACACTCAGATTGCCACGGACGGGGTGCTGCACTCTAACAACGGGCCATCTTTCAGATTAATAGAGCTTTTATTACAACAAAATGTCACAAGGTTTCATACTGGAGCAAAATCAGAGAAAATTGGAAATGGGGGAAGACGGGGAGATGGATGTACTGTCACCTAAGATCACAAGGTCAGGAGACCAAAGGCCTAGTTAGAGAGAAAGGATTGAAGAAGAGTCTTAGAGGAGGAGGAGTAAAGGTGTATGGAGGGAATGCCAGATTTTAAAGCCATGGTCGGTGAATGTGCAGTCTCCAGGAGCAATGAAAACCAGAGGTTACAGAAGTGGAGATCTTATTGAAAATTACACAATCCCAAGGGGACTTGACAGACTGGCTCCTGAAGAGGTGTTGCTCTTTGTTGGAGACTAAAACTAGGAAACGGAGCACAGTTTAAAAATAAAGGGTTTTCCATTTAGGATGGGGTCAAGGGGAAATTTTTCTCCCGGAGGGTGGTGAGTTTATAGCGCTGTCTTTCCCAAAAAAAAGGAGTAAAGATGGGGTCATTACACATTTTAAGGCAAAGGGAGATAAACTTGCTTCAGTTAAAAACCTAAGGGTTCTGGGAGCCAAAGCCATAATCATTCCAGCCACAATCTTACTGGATGACAGAGCAGGCTAGAGGGGCCAAATGGTCTATATGTTTGCACAACTTGGAAAATTGTTGCACTGTCAGACCAGCAACCTATATCTAAAGCAGACTAAAAAAATTATACTAAAAAAAAAGTGTCATGCTGGAATTGGCTAGAATGTCCAACAATTACACATGTACGTAGTTCACTTTGAACAGTTGTTGAGTAATGGGATTAGATCTGAGATAAAAGGTAGCTTCTTTATATTTTTCGTGTTACATTCATATAACTTGGTGACATCTGCGATTATTACTGCTTCATTCCAAGTGCTTTCAAAGCTAAACTACTGGAATATACAGCCAAGGCCAAACCCTACATATGAATAGTTGTTGCCTGATTTGTTACAATAACAGTCATTACCCTTGGCAACCACCTTTAGAATAGATTCACTGTCATTTTTCTTGCTTTTATTTATGCCTCCACAAAGCCTTGAAACAAGAAATAAGGCAAAGACTCTTCTATTGCCTCATCTTTTAGACGCTACATTTAATTACGATTGTATTGGATCCAATGTTCATTTCAACCAATTCCCAAAATAACCCAAAACCTTAAAAGAGAGAAGGAAAATTAAAGAGGCCTATGTTGGGGACTTGAAGGTTGCCGAGTAGCTGTGACCTCTGGCAGAGAATAAGTTTGAGCAAAAGGTTGCAAAAACAAACTCAGGGGAGGATCTTAGGAACAGGAGGAGATCCTTCAGCCTGCCACTGAGATCATGGCTAATCTGTGACCTAACTCTATATAACTGCCATGCCTCTCAAAATTGTACAGTCATGATGGCACAGGAGGAGGCTATTCAGCCCACTGAGTCCACGTACAGCGATCCAGTCAGTCCCAATCCCCCGTTGTATCCCTGTAACCCCTTGTAAGTTTACTTCTTTCAAGAGCCCTCCAATTTCCTTCTGAAATCATTCATTGTCTCCTCTTCTCCTGTCCTCACAGGCAGTGGGTTCCAGGCTATTTGCACTCACTGTATTAAAAACATTCCTCCTCAGTTTTTAACCCAAATCTGCAATCTTGAATCATTAAGCGATAGGAACAACTCTCTCTCTCCCTTGTCTAATCTCTATTACTCCAAGGAGAACAATTCCAGTCTTGCAGCTAAAATCCATCAACCCTGAAACCATTCCAGTCAATGTCCTCTACACCCCTCAAGGTCCCTCACATTCTCCAAAAAGTGGACAAAAATGCTAGCCTTGACAATGACGCAGACATCCTAAGAAAAGACAAAAAACAAATCTTGGCCTTGGAAGGAGTGCACCACAAATTTACCAGAATGATATCTGGTCTCCGAGAGTTAGGTTACAGGAAGTTGTAATGGACTGCAGCAGTTCAAGAAGACAGCTCACAACCACCTTCTCAAGGGCAACTAGGGATGGGCAATAAATGCCCATATCCCATGAATGAACTAAAATAAAGAATTGGACACAATGTTCAAGTTGTGGCGTACCTGGAGCTTTGGAAAGTCCCACTGAGAATACCCCTGCTCATGTATGCAATGCCTCTACTTAGGAAGCCCAACATCCCACTGATTTCACTAAGTGCTCTCAGTGTATTCTAACACCTTCAAGATTCTTTTAACAACGTTGCTTAACAAAAATCCAGAGTTAAATTTAACAATTGACCTAGCATCAACTATGGAAGAAAGTTCCAAGTTTCTGCCAAGTATTGCACATAGAGGTGTTCACTCCTGAAATGCTGGCTCCAGTCTGTGTCCCCTTGTCCTAGACTGCTCACCCAGCAGAAATAGTTTCTCTCTATTCAAGCCCTCAATCAAATCACCTGCCGAGTCCCAGGGAATAATATCTATCTGCAACCTAACTCTTGGAGATCAGGTATCATTCTGGGAATGAAAAACAGAAATTGCTGGAAAAGGTCTGGTAGGACCTGTGGACAGAAATCAGAGTTAATGTTTCAGGTCCAGTGACCCTTCCTCAGAACTCATTTATCAGAATTTATCATTCTGGTAAATCTGTAATGTATTCCCTTCAATGTCAATATTCTTTTTTATCTTTTCTTGAATTGCATGTTTCACTGGCAAGGCCACCAATTTGTCCATCCTTAAATGGTCTTAAGGTGGCCCAGCTACAGTGCTGTTAGAAAGGGAGTTCCAGGATTTGACAAGGAAGGAACAGCGAGATAATTTCAAATCAGGATAGTGAGTGGCTTGAGGGAAATTTGCAGGTGGGGCAGTATTGCCATTTATCTGCTGCCCTTATCCTTCGAGATGGAAGAAGACTCAGTTTTATAAGAACATAAGGACATAAGAACTAGGAGCAGGAGTAGGCCGTCTGGCCCTTCGAGCCTGTTCGCCATTCAATAAGATCATGGCTGATCCTTTCGTGGACTCAGATCCACTTACTCGTGTTCTCACCGTATCCCTTAATTCCTTTATTGTTCAAAAAAAATCTACCTTTTTTTTAAAAAGCGTTTACTGAAGTAGCGTCAACTACTTCACTGGGCAAGGAATTCCATAGATTAACAACCCTCTGGGTGAAGAAATTCCTTCTCAGTTCAGTCCTAAATCTGCTCCCTCTAATCTTGAGGCTATGCCCTCTTGTCCTAGCTTCACCTGCCAGTGGAAACATCCTCTCTACTTCTATCTTATCTATTCCCTTCATAATTTTATATGTTTCTATAAGATCCCCCCTCAATCTTCTGAATTCCAATGAATATAATCCCAATCTACTCAGTCTCTCCTCATAAGCCAACCCCCTCAACTCCGGAATCAACCTAGTGAACCTCCTTTGCACCCCCTCCAGTGCCAGTACATCCTTTCTCAAGTAAGGAGACCAAAACTGCACACAGTACTCCAGGTGTGGCCTCACCAGCACCTTGTACAGCTGCAACATAACCTCTCTGCTTTTAATCTCAATCCCTTTAGCAATGAAGGACAAAATTCCATTTGCCTTCCTAATTACTTGTTGTACCTGCAGACCTACCTTCTGTGATTCATGCACAAGGACACCCAGGTCCCTCTGCATAGCAGCATGCTGCAACTTTTTACCATTCAAGTAATAATCCTTTTTACTATTACTCCTACCAAAATGTATGACTTCACATTTATTTACATTGTATTCCATCTGCCAGACCTTTGCCCACTCACTCAATGTATCTATGTTCCTCTGCAAAGTTTCACAGTCCTCTGCACACTTTGCTCTGCCACTCATCTTAGTGTCATCTGCAAACTTTGACACCCTGCACGTGGTCCCCAACTCCAAATCATCTATATAAATTGTAAATAATTGCGGTCCCAACACCGATCCCTGAGGCACACCACTCGTCACTGACTGCCAGCTAGAATAGCACTCATTTATCCCCACTCTTTGCTTCCTGTTAGTCAACCAATCCTCTATCCATGCTAATACCTTACCCTTAATGCCATGCATCCTTATCTTATGCAGTAGCCTCTTGTGCGGCACCTTGTCAAAGGCCTTTTGGAAGTCTAGGTACACCACATCCACTGGGTCCCCATTGTCCACCTCGCTCGTAATGTCTTCATAGAATTCCAAAAGATTTGTCAAGCATGACCTGCCCTTCATGAACCCATGCTGCGTCTGCCCAACGGGACAATTTCTATCAAGATGCCTTGCTATTTCTTCCTTGATAATAGACTCAAGCATCTTCCCCACTACAGAGGTTAAGCTAACCGGTCTATAATTCCCCATCTTTTGTCTACTTCCCTTTTTAAACAGTGGCGTCACATTTGCTGTTTTCCAATCTGCTGGGACTGCCCCAGAGTCCAGCGAATTTTGGAAAATTACCGCCAGTGCACCTGCTACTTCTCCCGCCATCTCTTTTAGATGCATTCCATCAGGGCCAGGAGACTTATCAATCCTTAGCTCCATTAGCTTGCCCAACACTACCTCTTCCGTAATTATGATTGTTTCCAGGTCCTCACCTACCTTCGTCTCTTTGTCTATTACTGGCATGTTATTAGTGTCCTCCACTGT